TCATTACCACAGACAAAACAAGAGTAAGAGGGCCAAGTCCAAAGAGATGATAATGTAAGATGCCCTGCTTGAAGCGTAATTATAAGATGCGGTACTGCGTTTCTTCACTATTGGTCTTTAGAATATTTTCAACGAACGATCACTGAATGCTATTACTTCACGATTCCTTCTTCACGAATCATTTAATGGTTAATCTGAAAAATAATTTTTAACATTTAATATTTTTGTTTGGAAGTTTATAATGTTATATTATACATATGTAACTTAAATAATTGAGAGATTTTAGGTAAATAATTTAGTAATAAAATAAGAGACTGGAAAAGGTGTACACAAATATACATTTTGATGTAGGATCCACTAATAGTTCATTGATTGTTTTCATTTATTACATGGTCCAAAGGCTATTCACATTCTAAAGAGATTTTGGATCGTAGCACCTCTACCGGTAGCTCTAATACAATTTGCGACCTGATGTTATCCCTTGCGCGAGGTGATTTCGTGGCTGTCAAAGGAACACATTCTGAACGGAAATGACGTTTATATTGTGAGTTGGTCGGTGTGGTTGGTCTTGAATGGCTGCCACCTCATCGACAACTAAGGTGTTGCGGTGGTACAATAATGAGTGCTACATATTTTAGGGAGAAAGTTTAGGGTGATAGTGACCTATTTGTGAAGCAGGAAACCAGATCATCATTTATCCTTTGATGCAAAATGGATGTCCTTACTATTCTTTTTTTTGTCTTTGGATGTTTAACTGTTGATGTTAGAGGAATTATGTTCAAATTGGAACCTAATGGACAAAAATGTTTGAAGGAAGAATTACAATCTGATGTTCTAGTTACTGGCGATTATGAAATATCCGATGTGCCTGGACAGAAAGTGGATTATAGTGTATGAATAGCCTGTTTGTGATATTACACTTCAGTATGTTATGGTTCTTATGTGTGTACCTGTTTGCAGGTCAAAGATTCAAAAGGCCATATTCTCTCCCAGAAAGATGATATATCAAAAGGAAAATTCTCCTTTGTTACAGAAACATTTGATACATTTGAAGTCTGCTTTGCATCCCGTGTTCCATCTCGTAAGTACACATATGGTAGTTATAGTGTGCTTTATATCCTTCAAAATGTTTGATGACTTTATTTACATGAAAGGTTGTGGAAATCAAGAAGACATTTTTAAAATGAATTTTCTTTTCTTGTAGATCAAAGGGGTGTAGCTCATGAAGTGTCATTGATCACCAAGAGAGGTGTTGAAGCCAAGAATTATGAGGGGGTAAGCAGAATTTTGTCTTTTTATTTTAATTACAGTATTGTAATGGATGCAAGGTTAGCTGTTTATTGCCTTAGATAATAATTGAAGACATTTATTTTAAGTTGATTATCATTTGACTGGTATTTGTATATATTATAAATAACCTGTTCGGGGAATTACATCACTTAGAATTTTTCTTTTCTTTTTGGCTGTGGGTCTTGGTGCTTTGACTGATGGCTGCAGGCGGTAAAGTGTTAATTTTCATGTTTTGTTTGTTTGGAAAATTTGCTTATGACAGTTGCATGATTGATTGTATGGAATGTATTTTTGATGTTTGATATGATTGATGCATGTTATAGTTTATTATGCATGGTCAGTGTGAAAAATCTTGTATGTGTGAAGTTCATCAAGAAAGCAGTTGTGATTTTAACTGAAATTTTAACTTCATAACAGCTTGGAGAAGCTGCAAAGTTGAAGCCCCTAGAGGTTGAATTAAAACGCTTGGAAGACCTCTCTGATGCTATTGTCCAAGATTTTGCTCTCATGAGGAAGAGAGAAGAAGAAATGAGAGACACAAATGGTATGATGACTTCTGATATATTTGATAGAGCTGCAAGCAATAAACACTTCTGGATGGATGTATTTTTGAAGTAATATTTTATACAGTAGTGAATTTATGTATTAGACTTTTTTAAATATAATTAAGTCAACTATTCGAGGCAAAATGAAGTTGCATTAAGTTTTTAATCATGAGTGGTGTGAAATTGCGAATAAAAAAATGTGCATATTAGAAAAGAGTATAGCAAGATAATTTGGTTCCTTTACAAAAAAAATGTGGGCCTAATAAAAAGTATTGTTAACAATTGTTAATCTTTATTTGAATTTGACATATGAACAAATTTGCATGAATTTTTTTTTTTATTGGTTAGCTATTTTCATTGTTTGGATTTAAGGATATGTTTATTTATTACAGAATCTACCAACTCACGTGTAATGTACCTTAGTATCTTCGGAATGTGCTGTTTATTGGGTCTTGCAACATGGCAGCTACTGTATCTGCGAAGGTACTTCAAAGCCAAGAAGCTCATTGAGTAGTTCTTTCCTGCACAATTTGTTCAGATGCTGCTGAGCAAAAAGATCGTGTGCTTGTGGACTCTTCCTCAGCCATGTGTTTTTTAAAGACTGAGTCAAGTCTGTGTGGATGTGCCGTGGAGCTCGGTTTTTTTACTTTGTTGTGTAATTTATCTGTAAAATTGGTTTCCATTTGTGTATAAAGCTTTCAGAAATTTTTAATAAAAGTTCCAGATTTGAAAGCTACAGTATTTCATGAACAAAGTCGTGTTGCATTGTGGTGCATGGAAGAAAGTAAAATGATTACTACTGAGTATTGTGTTTTACTTCAAAGTCATTGCCATAAAAAAAATTCCTCTAGTTAAAAAGTTAATAGTTAATTAAAATGACTCGTCAATTTGTGATAACTCCTCAGCATGTCCCAGATAAATATTCATGCTTCATACTGAAAGTTTACAATTGGAACAGTGTCAATCTGTGCTTGGGAAGTGGTCAGTTATTGCAAATCCATTGTTGATAATGAAGGGGTCAAGTTATGCATCTTCCTGCTATATATATAAATATTATGACCTAGTACCAAATAAGATTCTTCTGAGCAATTCATGAAAATACCTTCATACTGTATTATTGATCATCTGAAAAATTAATTTTGCACTTTGGAAAGGCCCATGTGATCAATAAATTTGAAAAATTTACTCAATTTTTGGAATAAATGAAAAAAATCAATGGATTTCTTACAATGGAAATTGCAATTTTTTTTATAGTACATTGACATTTTCCCAGTCAATCCTATGCTTTACCTCCACTCCCTACATCTGTAAAATAAGAGCAAGTCTTATTTCTCTGCAATGTAACCGAAAATAAAATTTATATTGATGCACCAAATTTTTAAATTTAAGAGGGTTTCTTTACAGCATTTGTGATTACAATAGCACAAATTAATTTTTAATTTTAGCTTATATTTTGAATATGAAGCTTGCTCAATATACATGAACCATTCCTCTGGGTTGAAACAGTATTGAATTTCATCAATGTTATCTCCTTGGTAATTCTCTTTACTCTATTAGTTTGTGTGGCATGCAAATTTCTGTAAATTCATGAGGATAGGGATAAACAAATGTTAAGGGACTGGCTGATTATCATCAATAGACTATTCTGTAATGAATTTTTAATTCTATCAAAGGACAGCTTTTTTTACGCACATGAAGTAGATGTTTAGATACAGTTTATTCTACATATTGTAAAAAATCATTAACCTTATTAACATAACTAATAGCATTACCACAATTGTACAAAACTAATCTATATACATGGTTTTACACCAACAACCACGGGAGATTCAAGATCCCAAGCTTAGTTGGAAAGATCACAAAATGAAACCAAAAATATCAATGAAAAGAGAAATCTCTAGTACATTGGAAAGGAGTAAATAAAATGTCAAGAATCCTGTTCTTTATGAAAAATTGTGGAAGCAAATATTACAAATATGAAATTGGAATAATATGTAAACAGAAAGTTGATGTAAGTGCTGCCATCTACTCCACAATGCATTAGCTAACTTTTGATACAAGTAATAAGGTCTAACAGCTTGAAATGTGTTTCTGGTCGAAAAAGACAGCTGTTTTTATTTTGCAAGAATGGGCATCTGATCTGACCTCTGTTCGATAATTTTAATAAAAGCGATACCCGTATCACTGATTATGAAAACACATTGAAGCAATAACTTTCTAATAAAAAACGTTTCAGCAATATATTCACAAACACTATTTTCTCTTGGAAGAAAATGTTCACCCATGATAGCAGACATGGCTTACACTACAAGATCTGACAATCACTGAGCTATATATTCTTGCTTTCTATCATAAATTCTTGTTCCTTCAAATTCATCCAACTACACAGTGACATAATCAGGCTTTGGAAAGCCAAATTTAACTCAAGTACATTCACTCCAGTAAATTCACAAGACTAGTTAACAGGCACCTGATGACCTACAATGGAACATGAGATATCAATCCCAGTTTCTTAGAAGGACATTAGATTGAATGGTAAGCATAATGTATGTACTTCACTGTTTGTCTTACTTAAAATATCTTTACACAAGAAATAGAAAAGTTTGTTACATTATTCAATATAAGCATTTTTTACATTCGTCGTAGTTCCCAAGTATAAAACACCAACAGACAACTTTGAAACAGATTTTATCCATGACAGCTTCATGAAGAGAATAAAGAGAAAATGAGAAACTTCTTCACAGTTCAGCGCTAACACTTGCAATCAGCATGCTATTTTGCAACAGTTTATGGTGCAACGAAATGTAGCAAGTATAACGAAAATGATAGCACTTTATCAAAACGATTTGATCAATCTTTGTAAAAGAGAACGAAAAACTATTTACAATGTCTGCACACAGATAAGCAGTCACCTGCAGAATTAGGAAGTTTGGAAAACCGATCACTGACCAACCCCATCTACAGTGCAGCCATGAGAACCTCTCCCAAGAAATAAAACTTGAGTCAATGTGAGGCACTGTGCTTCTAAAACATACATAACCAATAAAAGTACAATAACACTGTAGTAACTAGAAGAAGATGAGACGGGCATCTGAAGGGTTCTGCTCAACTGGGCAGTATGGACACTTCAACCTGGAAATGACCATGCAATAAGTGACCGGTGTCAACATAGAACAAAATTAAATATTGACAAAAATATGTTTGTCCCCTCAAAGTAGGTACATTAAGGGTCTTGTGCATGGATTCTATGAAAAATCTGCACATCGATTGAGAATATAATACAACATTATTTCTAATTAATATTCTTGTGAGTGTTTCAAAAACAAATGACATTACAGAGTAAGTTTTTGTCCAAATTTGTAATTGTTTAATAAACTAACCCACACCAGTAGTCTATGCGATTTTTTGGCTTATCATCATTATAATTTCGGTTTGGAATTATGATCACAAATTGAAGTCTTGAGCTACAGATATAAAAAGTCATTTGTGATTGTTGATATGTTTGTTTAAATCTGTCTCTTACAGTTAACAAAAGCAAAGGCAAATCATCATTAATTATTCCAAACAAGTTGAGATCTTTGTTTGGAAATATTGCAATGAAAATCTAAAACTGTCGATAATACAAAAATTTAATTAGATAAAAGAGTTTTTTGGTTCCATGAATCCAGGGAATTAACTTCTGTACCTACATTAAGGAGAAAGGAAGCCACAAGTTTTCATTAAATATACTTACTTGCTACCACTGCTCAATTTGTTAAGAGCATCTCGAGAAATAACATGGCCACACACAAGACGCATTGGAGGGTTGTTTTCAGAAGACTGCTGCCGGAGAATAGGGCAAGCAAACACTGAGTGGTAGCGGCTATCTTGTCCCAGGTCAATTTCAATCTGAAAAATAAAAAATAAAGAAATGTGACTATTTAGTCAAAAAGAAAAATGACTATTAGAAAATAATGTAGCTTTGATTTAGATTAACTGTTTACTTCAGGAAAAATCAAATTAATATAAAATTTACTGAATTCCTTTTCTAAATTAGTCTAACCTAATTAAAATTAAGTTGGAAAAATTTTGGTTTTTGTCATTTAAAACTTAAAGTTTAAACTTCGCTAAAATTAAGGTAGCATTGCCACTTGCGACATGCACATGGTTCCAGCCACCAAGCCAGGACCAACCCCAGCAGTCCATCTTTTTCAGTGATATTGGGCTAATCTATCGCAAGTGTACGCTTGGATAGAGGCTGTTTGGAAAAGTTTTCCTAGAGAAGTTGTCGCAAGGGCTTTTAAAAAGTGTCCAATCTCAAATGCCCTTGACGGCAGTTAAGATTGCTTCCTTTATGTAGACAAAAGTGATAAAGAGTGAGGTAAAGAATCTGAGTCGTCTGTCAATGTCCGAGTCAATGTTCTCTAAAATGTAAAGAATTCAGAAGTCTGAGTGTGTTAAGCATCAAATGTTTTTATGTTTAATTTTTTAAAAAAATGTGTTTATTTCTTGAGGTCAACTTGCAATCTGTGTCAGCTTATAATCAACTAAATATGGTATTCCCTATTTTAGGTAGTCACCTGGTCTTGCAGGCACATTTAGTAGATTAGCACGAGTTTGCCAATAAAATTGTAAATTCATCATGGAAATTTCATCTTTAATGCTACAAGAAAAGCCTGGAGAAATGTACTATTGATTCAGTATCTTCCTACATCAGCTCACATTATTAGAGTACTCAGATGTTATCTCCAGAACTGTTTATAATGCAGGGGATTAATTTCTGTTTCACATAATTTTCGCAACATAATTTTCAGCATGCGTTCTGAAGTTTCCTTGGTGAGAAATGCAGTTTCAAATCTAATTGGAAATCAAGTCCTTGAATAAAATGAAAAGACCAGTGATGTGAAAAATAAAATTTTGCAAATGTTGCAAATTGTAAGATTTTGTAAACAAGGGCAAACATTGCATTCTTTTTTTTTGGGTAACCTTTAAGGGTAATTAAAAATGTGATAATGAAAAAAGCATATGTAACATCCTTACAAACAAAACTGGATGTCTTTTCCTATTTTCTCATTTCCTCCATTAAGCAACATATGCTGATGATCATTTCTCCCTGTAGCTATCATTTGCCACTTATGACAGGTTTCTCTGTTCACATACCTACTGTTCATTAGATTTGTTCAAGGAAAATAATGCATCATTTCAATGGAAACAATGTTTGTATAAGTCGATACCAATATATGCTTGCTTATGTTCTAAACAATTGTAGTGTATCATAAAATTGGCCCAATTCATGAAGAAAATAAATTGACAATGAAACATACTGGAATAAAAATCAAGAAACAGGTATGCCAAAATACCAACAAACATCCATGTGTGATACAACTAAACTGTGATATTGGCTTCCAATTCTTCAAAACTTACTGGTAATTCATCCTTGCCATTCCATATCCCTGTCACTTGCCGTTGCTGCATCACCTGCTTGATGTTAAGGAGAGCTGGAAGAGCTGTGCAGCCTGCATTGATGCTACAACAAACCACAGCAAATACAATTAATGCACATCAAATAATGAAAGATACTATAATTAAATCTGTATTATTGATTTTCAATGCACACAAAAATTGAAAGAAAACTATGAAACCTCTGGTCACCTATGATTTTGTTGGACACCCAGTAACTCGGGGATTCCAAATTCGGGAAAAACTCGGGAAAAATTCCAAAACATTGAAACAATTTCGCTTTTGACTGAAAAATGCAAATATTTGAATGCGTTATTGTATTTATTCTCATACTCTGCATACTGACTGTATTTGCACATTCAGTGAGTCACTGCTTACGGCACAACTGACATGTGACAGCAAGGCTTCAATGAAGAGTTGTGCACCATTTAAAATTTGCTGCTGCATGTTGCATTACGGAACAGCAACTTTCTTGAAAAAATTGGTATGTAAAGCACTGTTGCTATACATGTTATTACAGTATCTGTAAATACTGTTTTTGTTATTACACTGACTTTATTCCAGTGTTAAATACGAGTATTTTATTTGTTGGTTTAAAACAGTATGCATGCTACTTTCAGAAAAGCCATTTTATGTGGTTTTGTTCAGCATAATTTTTGTCACTACAGGTCATTAGAATACTAAATGTAAGACCAGGTATATTAATCCATTATGCCTTAAAATTTTTAACTTTCTTTCAGCTAAGCTAGAAGAAATCTTCTAGTAAAGGTGAAACTGGAAACGGATTTAAAATACCTCACCATCACAAATCCTCGGAGCCTCTATTGGAAACTTTTAAAACATGCTAATGTTTTACATACCAATAAAAGAGGTCATGCTGCTGAATGACCATGAATTAAAATAAATTATTCTCCATTGGTAATTAGTTTCGACTCTTGCGAATTAAACAGATACTTCACATTAATTTCTGCAACTCCAGAGCTCTGGAGCTTGACAAATACTCTAGACACATTTGTACCCAGCAATCAAATACATACTCATTCCATTTACCATCTTCACAACTTTTAAAAATGTTCATATCATCAAATTGTAATAGGAATGTGGTCTTTGTTTTTAATGACAATTAAGTCCACATTTTCCATTTGAAAACATTCAATTACATATTTAATATATGTGTCAAGAGCATGTTTCGCAAATGTGTGTGATGAGCTGAAATCAATAAATACAAAAAGGTTTTATATAGAAAATGTGGATGTGATCGTTATTAAAAAAATGATTCCTTCCCATTACAATTTAAGACTAATTTGACAATCATTTGGAATGGTCCAACTTTTTGTTCATATCTTCCTTACACTCAAAAACTTATTTTTTCAACCATGTTATTTGAAGCTCACCATACAGAGAGAGGACTGTCCACACTTAGACCTAATAGTGCACACGCATCACGTGTAAACACATCGTGAATTTCTGCCCAGAGGTTGGGATCCAGCAGATGGCGGTACGGAGAATTGCTTATGCCATGTGGAAGGTACAGGAACATCCCCATAAGGATTTGAATCTCTGAAATGAAAACATAACACATTATTTATGAGAAAGAGTTCACATTATATTACATTTATACATTATAATAGGATACTGCAACTGATTTACAACATCCAAATTCTCTTGAGTTACAATTATTTTGGTACAAACTTTTTAAAATAATGTTCAAAGTAGGAATAACCCTGAGACTTATCAATACACTGGGATGCATTGGTTCCAGTATTACATTAGGGCCCTATTACCTTTATTACAAATATTCTTAAATTTTATTATTAATGAAGGTCCTGAAACCTGATATAATTTTTCTTAATTATCTTTACACTACAAGCTTACTATCATGTTACTATTTCTTTCTTAAATTTATATTCTTAAAAGTTCTATCACTTTGTCTACTCTTTCTTTTTAAGACTGATAATACTAGCAGTATTTCATGTCTAAGTGAATCAGAAGCTGGAAGGAGAGCCATCACAACTTGGTTGGGAATACTAGGATAATGCAGAAGTAATAATAAAGTGTGCTTAAATATACACATATACATTTGGAAAAGATAAAACATCTAATTGATGGATTCAAGAAAAGTGCATCATAAAATGAAATATTTCACTATTTACATATATAAATACAACATCACATACCTTTCTCATGGCGATTAATGAACTGATGAAAATGTGTGCGTGCATAGAGTATTGCCTCTGTTTGTCCCAGAGGACCTCTCTGAATCAGGTCAATGAATCTTAAACGATGAAGTTTAAATTCCAGGCAAGAGTTCTGCACAAGAAAAAAAGAATCACAACCATATATGAAGTTCAAATGCCAGTGGAAAACAATCAAAATTAAATCTAACACATTCAATTTCAATAAGTTCTAATGCTTAAATTTATATTCACATTACAGCCTAAAGTATTTAATTTGTATAATATTTAATGTGCTGGTTTTTGGTTAATGGAACACTTCTCTCTACAAGTGCATTGTTTTAAAATGCCAGGCAAAGACACCCACATTTTTGCTGCATATTTCTCAGATAGCATCACTTTTACACGGTAGCCACGTTAAAATTCAGTTTCAGCACCCAAAAAATATTAACGAAAATGTATATTCCCCCACCAACTTACCAATTGATGAAATGTGAACAATTTAATATTTAATACAAAGTAAAGAACAAAACTTTCATAAGCTACAGGAGATATTACCCGCACAACTTTTCTTGACTGATGAACTTCCTTCCCCCTCCCTGGCACAATATAGGAAAGTAAATGTCCACAGTGAGCACTGATAACAACATTCCAAACATATCTTCATTGGCACATAATAAAAGCTACTTGCTATTGAAAATTGAACTTCTGTTTCTGTTTTTATCCAAAAAAATCTAGAGACATGGCTGAAACTAGTACAGATCCATCACAGGAGATACCTAGAACTGCTATGAAAATTAGAACGAAAGGTATTGAAAAAGGTGCGGATGCATTACTGATATTTGGAGCCTGATGTTGTGTTATAAAATCTAGTATCTGATTTCATAACTATACTCTCACTCTACCTGCCATTCTGCAAGTCATTGGTCAAGAAAAATTGGGTGGATATTACACCAACACAATGTTGGAGCACTTAAGAACGAGAAACATTTAAAGTGGACTTGACACACAACTTCAGTACTTAAAAAGAGAGAAACAAACCATTATCTATCAATGTTTCATAATGTCCTGAACTAAAGTAAGGGTTGGGTTTTTGGATTTGTCACACAATTACATACACTAAACTTTCAAGATAAATGCTTCCTGTATGCCCTACATCAATGATTGGCAAATCTGATGTAGGCAACGACAGCACACGATGCAACCTGCCCAATACCCCTTGTTGAAATGGAGATCACCGTGGGATGACAGCATAAGTTCACAACAGCTTAGAATTGTTTCTCCAGACAAGTTTAATTTAGAAGTAAGTTACTACACAAGAACAACACTAGACAAAACAACATATCACTTGACTTGACATGAAGATTGACACTAACAAAACTCAGTCTATGCATTCAACATGACAAAACACTTTGCTCAGTATCTGACATAAGTGTGCCGTGTTGTATGTTTTCCCTCTGTTCCTAACAATGGGGGGGAAGTGTTGGTGTTGCCACAGGCATGACTTGTGCTCCGGTGCACATTTTTGCCAACTGCTATCCTACATGTATTTGTAGAAGTGCGAAATTCTCAGGGAAATTGACACGTCATTATTAGGAACTTGTCTCCAGAATCTTAAACGTTGCTGCAGTATCTTGCATCAAAATACAAACAAACCTATAAATTAAAAAGCTCAGCGAACTTCCCAGTGGGGGGTGGGTACATACTAATGAAAAGTCAAATGCATTGGAGTAATCTGCAAAGTGTACCTGTGCCTCAAGGCTCTCTCGATGGGCCTGAGCCCATTCCAGGGCAGGTCCAAGATCATGCACCTTCAGGCTATCAAGGATCCTATTCAGTTCAGAGAAGGGTTCCTTGCCACTAGCTTCAATTTCTAGGCCAGCCTCCTGGAAAACAAATTTTGTCTTGTAAAACAAAATAAACCATATGGATGCCATTCTATAAATTCAGTTCTATCACAATACAGAAAAAGAACTCACTATTAACAACATTCCCAGGTTAGAGTCAACACAAATATTCAATGAGAAGAGTAATTTGCTTTCTAAAGAACAGAAAATAGTAACTCTCCTCAATATTTATTTCCCTGTGAGACAATACTTCTACTTACAAGGGCCAATTCATCTGCTATATCCAGCATTCCCTGCCGATAAAAGTGTTGACATATTACTTGATTTAGAAGATGAATTTTTTCTGGAGTAGAAAATACATCCTCCCTACTGGTAGATGCAAAGTCTGACACAAAATTCTGCAAAAATGAAAATTTCAGAATTACAACCACAATAAAAAAATCTTACTAAATATCAATTAACATAATTATCTAAATGGGAGAATCATACCCTATCAATCGCCTTGCCTACTTTAGACACAGTACTATGCAAATCTCTATGATCTGTAGCAAGTCTTTGTACTGTTTCTTTTACTTTGTTGATGGACTGTTTCAGGATAATTATTTGAGCAGGTGTCAGCTCATGATCTGATGGACCTAGAAAACAAAAGTACAAGATGAAAAAAATAATCCCAACTGTTTCCAGTAGTCATCACAGTTAATATGGAAAGTCGGACAAGCTTCAATGACATTTGGGTGCAATGACTTCTTGAATGTTTTGACCTTTCATTATCTATGACATTTCCTCAATTTTCCACAGCTATTGCTGAATCAATAAAACATAGTCACTGTCTAAACAAACAAATGGGACATGAAATGTAAGTAGTGTCCTTTGTTCTTACCTTCTTCCAAACCTTTCTTCAACTCATCGACAATGTTTATGACATCTCGCAAAACGCGTTCTGCATGTTCACGTATTCCACCAAACTTCGATAAAACCTTGTCAACCTCTCTTTCAACGGCATTACAAGCATCCATTCTCCTTTTTACGCACAATCACTGAAAATAAAAACAATGACATAAACATCGAAGGCCTTAGTATGTTTTCTATGGTTTTAGTCTATTTTGCCGTGGAAGCCGCTACCTCACCACGATTGGCTGATGAGAGTCTCGCGCTAGTGGCAAATATCGATAGTCGGAGTACTTCTGCTGCCATCTTTTAGTCAAGAATTACAGTATACGGCGCGTAGAATATGTTGTGATTTGAATGTGCGAAAAAGACCAAACAAGAGTTTTTTCATCATATAAGGATAATCTTTTAGTAAATAAAAGAGTTTAAGCACCAGAGAAAGAAAATACTAAAATGCAATATACATATGGAATTATATTATTTGATTGAGTTAAAGTAAATAGTATTTTGTTGTCGTGAATGTAAGAGGTGGCGGGGAGGGGTCGATCTGATTTACTTTCACACTTGCGTCGCACACTCCGCAGCCAGCAAAGCACGAAGCAAGATCTGTCAAGACATGGCTCGCACCATCAAGCTGAACTCTGGCTATGAAATGCCTACGATCGGACTCGGCACCTGGCAGGTAAAGACCATTCTGTTATCCTTGTCACAAGTACTCAGTATGCACATTGCAAGCGAAATTAAAATTTAACGTGCAACGAGTTCGCTTGGACCTCTCGAGTCATAATCTTCTTCAGACTGAAAATTATTAACATGTGATGCTCTTTTAATTAAATCTGTTAGTGAGTAAATAATAAATGATTTATCCTTGCTAATTTCTATACTTATGTATTTAACTTAAGCCCTTTTGTGGCGTGTGTCAGAGCACATATTTCATGAATCTGTAATTATTTCGTGCATTATTTGCGTGAATATTTTACATCTCTTACTTTTTCTAAGCTGTGGAAACTCAAGAAGGAACTAGACAGCAACAAAGTAATATTAGGACCAAATTAATGTCGTACGTTTATGGGCGATTGTATGCACGTACTTTTCTTAACAATTCAACATAATCTTCAATTGTGACATACTTTAATGATTTCATAAACAGTACAAATGCGAAGTTATAAAGAACACACACGTAGCATGTACACGCGCACGTGGTGTTTGCGACATTTATTAAAACACAGTTTATTATTCTGGTGTTTATTAGTATTCACTTTAAACAAGCGACGATTTTTTTGTATAAAATTAATAAGTCGGATGTACCTTTTCGATCGTGTCTCTTGAACCGACACAGAAGACTTGCGCATTTTCCCCTGATAAGGTTCGGGGCTTACGGCATTAAAAATACATCAATAGAAAATATGTCAAAATAACTTCTTCATTGGAATTATATTTTTTCTTTCTAACTTGAAGCTGTCTAGCGAGAAGTGTTGACCATTTTATAGCGAAGTAAATAGTCGCAGCACATATTTTTAATACCTTAAGGCTCGCAATTTCTATTTGAATACCTTGTTTAATTATTCGATTTGGAAAGAGGGTGATTACCTAGTTAGTAAATGATTTTAAAGACAAATATAAAATATTCATACGAATTACACATTGAAATTCACGTGAAAATTAATATCTAGAATTCGCACGTACACTTTAAAATAAGCCAGTTAACGGATTATTTTCAGAAAAATTAATTTCATACCCACAAACTTCTTCTGTGAAGTAAATATTTTCAACGAAGTTATGCATGCAACGACTACGATACAAGACTATCCTCCAATAGAAGACATCATATGCGCGTGTATGTAATGGAATGATTATTCGGTAAAGGAACTTATTACATTTATATTATTTGAATGCGTCTTGCATATTTATCGGATCTTTAATGAAGTTACTCGAGAACTTAAAAAGTTTCTGCGAAAATGATTTTACAACATCGCATTTTCAAAAATGTTTAAACAATCACTTTCTGAACAATGTTTCCAAATTGTGAAATGAAAATTGAGAAAATGTGAAAAAAATATTTTAAACGCAATAGGTGGAAGCTGGGAAGAGGCAGAGGCAAAACCGAAAAGCTAGCTCAGATGCAAGAGAATACGAAACTAACTAGTACAAGAACGTCTATGCTATTCTGAAGCACCACTAATAAAATTTTACTTTTTCATATACTTGCGTATATAAGGAACTATAAAGTAGTATCGAGAAAGTTTATAATGATGTGGAAACCGATTTTAAGATTCCAATGAAAAGAAACGTTTTGAAGTTCTCTTGAAATAGTTTTTTTTGAGGAAACCGAAATAGTTTTTTTCTTCTTCAAAACGTCTGTCCGCCTCTGTGCCCGTCTGTTTCTCCGTTTGTTTGCAATATTAGCACCGAAATTATTTGTACGATTTTTTCTTAAATGAATATGCTCAGATATATTAGGTCCGGGTCGAAGTTCTGGAAATATTAAAAGGATTCTCGGAATTTTTGGGATACATTAAATGAAACACCTGGGACATTTTCAAAATTTTCTAAAAAAGACTATAAGTTTTTAAAATTTATATTTCCTATAAAAATATAATGAAATATACTAATAACGATGTTATAAGTTCAGTTTAAATGTTCGAAAATTGCAAGTTTGAAATTCTTTGGACCCCCTCCTGGTATTACATTATTGAAGATAGAGATGGTTTCTTCAAATGAAAATTTTCCCAGATTTAGTTATCCTATTAAAATTAACTACATACGACAGAAAAAACTCGTGTAGAGGGGCCCTGACAATAGAAAATGAATAAATCTTGTTCCAAGACATAGCAAATTACTTTCTCTAATACAGTGTGTAGTCAGATGTCACGATTTGTCATTCATTCCTTGATACCAAAAAATTGGTTGACGATAAGACATTCCTCAATCTTTCTGTCCTTCTATGAACAACACCTATGCCTAAGTTTTGTAGGATTTCCCCAAAATAAATATTCCGCGGTCAATCAGACCCGACTTAAAGCTCTGCAGTTCTGATTAACATTCTTTATATACTGGAGATACTTTACATGAAGCCCTTGAGACATTTTCAAAATTTTCTCAAAAATGGCTTCTTTAAATTTCTTGTCACAATAAAGGGAAATACACTTATAAAGATGCATAGATCTGATTTTCACTGTTAAATGATTTTTCAAAAACTGCGAAAGTATTCTCATGTACATTTTTTGAGAATGTTTCTGTAATTTTGCATTAAATATTGGCAATATTAAACTACTGTCAATGCAGTAATTCATTCGAAAACCGTTACTGTAAATATCAACTACGTGAGAGAGATATCCACAATATTGTAATTGTGAAATTTTTGAAAACGCAAAAGAATACATTTAGTACTGATCCGACCATACGTTTTAAGAAAAAAATGTGGTTGTTGAGGATTTCTTGTTTTTCCAAATTTTTTATTTATTGCACATCTTTCTATCAATTTTCCATTAAAAACTACTAAAATTTTCAACAAAAAATATACACGAGGTTAATGAAAGAACTAGTTATGGAGAACAAATTTTATTTGAAGCCAATAGCTCTATCTTCAAATTTGAAATTGTGAGAAGACCCTTTTTAGCGGTCTTTGAAATTATATATATATCTAATATTAGAAGTTGCATAAATTTCAAGAGGAAATTACGCAAAAAATACTCGTTTAAAAAAAATAAACTTTCATTTTCGTTTTTAAAGAGCTGATTTTTTACAACTGATTTTGTCTGCGGCAAATATCTCTTTTCAATTTTGTTGTTTTAAAATGTTAACTGTTGGCACTTTTCGAAAAAAAGAGAGAGGATCAAAAATTGAATTAGCACCATATTTTTTTACCGTCCCTTCTTACATATGAGGAGAAAATTTAAAGTAAGAAATTGGAGCGGTGAAATACCTAAACGTGTATTTCTGTTGAAGTTTTGAAATCGATATCTCTCTATATATGTATATATGTATATGTATGTGTATGTATATGTATATATATGCATATATATGTATGTATATGTATATGTATATGTATATGTATATGTATATGTATATGTATATGTATATGTATATATATACACATAACGCCAATAGAGGACGCTGACGGGGCAAAACCTAATAGATAGCCAAGACGGAAGAGATAAGGAAACAAGATAGTACGAGAAAATCTCTGCCATTCTGAAGTAACTTAAGGGGGGTGGTACACCTACAGGACCCTTAACTGCGTCAGAACGTGATCTTTAATCTCCCATGCATATGCCTCCACAAAATTTTGAATGAACATGTTTCCATATTTTAATTATGTCATTATTATTTCTATTGTTTTCGTTAATTCGAAGTTCTAGTCATACTTTTCCAGAAACGCAACACAAAACTAAACATTCAACTGAAATGAAAATATTGCCAACTGAATATTCCTAAGTCCAGTGGACAATTTTGCGTTTCTGTAACTATATAAAGAATTAAATATTTATCCTATTTCTATTCATGAACGACGATAATTGCCTGATAAAATTCACCTGACTGGTTCTTACTATCATAATATTGAATGCAACAAGCTTACAACTTTGTTTAGAATCGAATAATACTAATTATAATGGAAAAAATCTGTCAATGCATTTATCTTGTACAAATCTAACTTATTTGAAAAATTACTGCTGAAAAATGCATTGTATAATATAAATTCCGCCAGAAGTAGGTACTCATATAAGCAAATTTGGAGTTTTTCATTGAAATTACCAAATATTACAGACAATTTAAATATATGATTTAAGTAACTGTTGGTATTGTAATTTGCAATAAATGTTGTGTACTTCATAAAATCTAAAGATTCGCTGAAACTTGTAAGATTTGCAAATCAATGGTGAGAATAACTGAAATGAATTTTGAAACAAATACTACGAGTAATCAAGAAGATTGTAGGCGGATGTGAAGCGGACTAATGAAATGGATACGTAACATTTTTCGAAATTAATTTTTTTACGTCAAATTTTTGTTCTCTCTTCGACGCTAAATTCATTTTAACCAATTAAATATCTGAATCATTTTTCCTCGATAAAGTGTCATTCGTATGTCAACGAACAGAAGACAGTTATGACACGCCTGTTTACCAAGCTCTCCTTGATCAGCCACGCCCTACGAAAAAAAGCGCTCCAAAGCGCGGTTCCACTGGGTTTTGAATTTCGGAATACATAATAATTATTGGAAAGTACTCATATCTCTTAGTATTCTCGTTGGAAAACTTTCAAGGGCTGTTTCATCGCCAACATTTTAGCGTGAATACATATAGAATCTTCGTGATACGGACACTCATTTTCGCATCAGAGGGTAAATTGTAATGCTTAAAGTTGTTCAAGATAATTATTCTGATTTACAATATTTCGTTATTCCAAACTCTGTAATATTGTTTCGTTAAATAGGTCTTGGGAGAGCCAAGAGTAATGAACAAATGAAATCGTCTGGTATAGTGTTCTGCATGCAATCTGGTAACATCTCTAAGTAATTATAATTTATTTGAATCAACAAATGTAATTAAATTCTATTTAAAATGAGAGAATATATGTTTATTAAGAAAGCGAATATATTTTTGTTATTATGAATGCCTTGGAGTTTAGGAGTTGAGGGTTTTAAGTAGTGTCTGCTTAATGGCTCTGTCCATTACACTGATCAATCACCCCACATCTCGCGTATACCTTACAGTAAACGTATTTGAAATAATCTCCTTATTTTCACTATTCTGAGTGGTGTTGCCCGCTCGCGCATGCGACCTAAGTCGGGCATGGTTGCATGTCTCGCACACGCGTGGCCTCTCACGTTGGCGTGGCGCCAGTGGGTGCGCCCGCGTGCGTGGCCGCTTACAATTCGTTACCGTGTTGAATTATTTTGAACCAATTGGGTATTTAAATACATCCAAGATTTACCACAGAGTCCATTGTAATGGGTGAACTTAGCGGTTGTATCCACTCGACAATAAATTACAATGGACTCTGTGGTATATGTCGGATGAATATTATATTTTTCATTTATTTCGGTTTGGTCCGAAGGCCCTCAGCAGTCGATAACGATGTTTGAGGGTTCAATGAATTACATTAGTCTTGTTTAAGGAAAATTAATAATAGATTAATACATTGAGTACACGTGGATTGAATGTGGGACGCCACATCGGGTACATAATAATCAGGGGGGAGGATCGAAGAACTGTCGTGGTAGTTTCCTCTTCAGTCTGTGGTGGTGAGCATTTTGTTTTCCGATTTGGAAATGTACGGCTGAGGGAATCTGGGGAAATTTAGGATAGAAGCGAGTAGATAGGAGGGAGAAATGGACGTAGATCGGAGTGATGCCAAGTTCGTTATGTAACTGGGAGTTAGGTTCAAACAAAGGAGCTTTTGTAATGGTTCGGAGGAATTTATTTTGGAAAATCCGCATTGTTTTAGATATCTTATTTGCTGGCTCAGGCCCAGATAGGAGAAGCGTAGGATTATATGGGACAAATCATTGATTTGTATAGATGAGAAGCTATATGAAGTCGCAGGGGTAAAGAGTTTTTGAGTATGGGATGTAATTGGTATGTTCTGCAGGTGTCTAGAGGTATTCTGTGAAGAATATTTGATTTTCAAGTGCTCCTCCTATCAAAAAGTATACCATGATATTTCGCTGACTTGTTGTTTGGGAGCCAATATATATTTTCTCCTTGATACTTGAGAGAGGGAGGATATTTTGGTCTGCGGAATGAGAAGATTTTGGTCTGACTTTTTGTTCTGGGTTTATCCGGATGTGTCATTTCTTGGCTCAGGAGAATTGGGAAATGTGATGTTGCAGGTCTACTTGGGCGGTGGTAATATCAAGGTTTCGGGAATATATAGTGGTATCATCAGCAAACAGTGCAATGGAGGTATGCGAGGCGGGTGGTATATCGGCGGTTTTAAGTTTAAATAGTGCGGGAGAGAGACCAGATCCTTGGGGGTATTGCTGCCAATATGGAGAAAGATATGAAAGATCTCCAGAAAGGCGGACCAAAAAAGTGCCATGTTTGACTAAGTTGCTGGGAAACGGGAAGTCATAAATAAATACGTAGTACCTGAAGAAGAATAAAAAGATTAGGTTTTGAACATTTGTAAGAAAATTTAAGAATAAACTGTACGTAAAAAAAAATTGGTTCAAAATAATTCAAGAATAAACACTAATAAATACTAATTCTATTTTATGTTACCGTGTTACTTGCGTTTATTTGAAAATATGGATAATTTGGGAAACATACTAAAAAAACGATAAAATTGCGATAACAATATTCACTATCTTCAGAGTAAAGACACAGTGACAAAAGTCATGAGCATGACATGGTGGTGCAAGCATAGTTTAAAATATAGTGAATTTCCTTTCTATTTTCTACTTTCTATTTGGTTTATTGGTTTGTGTACGTGCTAACTACCATACATTACACTATACCCTTACTTTAAGAGTTAATTATAAATTGTTGAGTAGACGCAACTGGAGTATGTATATGAAACTTTAAACAAATTAACAATCCTAATTTTAACTTTCAAGCTGTTGTATTTGTACTTCAAAGCAGGTTGGATAATCGCATCTTGTGCTGGCTACTAAGAAAAAGCTCGTATGCTATATTATATGGATTTTAGTGTACTATTTTCTTGTGGAAATTGAATCGATTTCAATACTTCCAATTAGGTTCAATGTAGTGAATATCATAATTAGATATTTACTCGGGCAAACAAATATACACATTCTGAAACTCACGTTAAATGGAAAAATTCTGGGCTTTTGTCTGTATGGAATTATTAAATGCCTCTACATAAAAAAACATTGCGTAAATATACATGTAACTATGAGAATACGTTAACTATTAAATAAACTATAGGGGGAAATGTATCTGAGAAGTATGTCTCTTAAACAAGAAAGATAAAAAGTAAATCAGATTGATCTAGGCTAAATGATATTTCGATAAAATGAAAGTCAGTTGCAACGGAGAAGTTTCGATGCCAGCCGCCGCGAACCTGTTTTGTCCCCACTCGTTCCACGTGGCTTAACCGAGTTTTGAACACTAGTTCTCAATGACGTCGGAAGAGCGCGCAAGACCTCGGATGTTGCGTGAAAGACTCCTTCTATTCTTGATTAAACACTCTAAATCAATAATGAATGCAATTCGTGACCATTGGACTAAGGATACACTTTTATAGAGTTTAAAAAAGCCTACAACCCAATCAAAGCCTAAAAAGACTATTGTGTTCCTAAAAGCCTAAAAATATGTGTTCAGTGTAATTGAAACCGCGGAGAATGAACTCTGAAGCAGTTGTAGAAAGAAAGTTACACTAAAGCTGAAAACTTGTGAATGAAATTCCTGGATTACTATGACTGAGCTTTGAATCCCAAGAAAGATACTATGATATGCCAATTAAACCAGCATAAAAATATGAACTAGACACAAAAGTTAAGTAGAAATATATCTTTGTATGGTAATACTATGATTTTTTAATAACTACGTCGTCTCTGTTATCTTATGTACAATTCTACCTTTATTCTTTTAAAATTCTCCATACTAACATTTCACACTTTGCAGATCAACATTGATTTATAAGTGAAAATATCTTTAAGACGGAAGTATCCTGAAATAAAATGAAATAAAACATCCAGAAAGGTCTCATTGAGTAGTCTACGGCCTAATAATATTACTCGTTTCCCTCAAGGAACACGAAAACCTAATTTTAAAGCCCAAAATGCGTGGTTTCCGAGTTACGGACGATGATGGCGAGTCGTAGCGTAATGAGTGTTAAGGATTGCATGTGCACCTGCCTTTTCCCAATAAGATAAATTGCGAACTTTTATCTCTTACCTCTATATGATGGAAGACTGAGATAATTCGCTATTCACTAGCCGAATAGGGGTTTTGGGAGTTTGTGTCGACGGTTTCTAATAAATAGTACAATATCGTAATCTTTCCTTAGTGTATTATTAACAGAGAGGATAGTCATGATTTAACAATGTAGCTTGAAGTAAAATAAAATTTGAATAAGTTATCACGATCGTCTCTGGAATAAGCTATTTCATGCGATAAAAATACACCAGGGTATACATTAGAATATAGTAAATAATTTCTCTACCGTTTTGACTTTGTAATCATTTAAACCCGTAGAAAGTGTTGTTGTTTTGGGTAATTTTCCTATATCGTCACAGCATGTGTCACCGAACCTTAGTGCGAATTTCCAAAACTGAAAGAGCTAGAGTAGACTTGGAAGGCCTCTTATGTCATTTACAAACAGCGAGTGCATCACAGTTCTGAGGGCCGGTTTACGAACCAAAGTTCTGTCGGCCTAATGCCGGGCGCAGTCGCCAGGATGAGTTTGATGTAGGGCTGTCGTAATATATACCCCAATTTAGGAAAATCACATATTTTAGTTTCTCGTTGTTTTTATGAAAACGTATATTTTTTATTAGTCAATATTTGCAATTATCATTAGAGTTTCGACACACTCATCATGCTGGATACTCGAATTCTCATGATGTTTTGCCAGCTGGTAGATCACCATGCAAACCAAATTGTACTGCGGAGTATTAGAAATAGTTTTAGAGGCGTTTTGCATCTAGACCTTTCGTGATCTCTGCGCCTCCCGCCGCGCGAACCGATGCATCGGCTTCGCCAGGAACGTCACGCGTCTTCTGTCCACCGGTGTCACATTTCTGGCGCGTTCTTTCTTTCGCAACTGATGGCGAAGGTTATAGCTCTTTTTAGTTTGAAGCGCAGAGTGACATGCGTTCTTAATATTTCTACCGAAGTTAGTTGTAAGGATACCTTAAACGCATTTTTAAGGAAACTGAAAACGAAACTTACAAACAGTGCACTATAAATCTATGTTAGTTTTGAATTTTTTTAATCATATTATTGTGAAAAAATACCAATCGACAAGAAATTGCTGCGCACAAAGAAAGCGTTTCTCAGCAACACGTCGATGCTCGTCTAATTGAGGAGAAGGCGGCGGGGAATTTTTTCACAAAAAACACATCGTGTGTTAGGTTTCGTGTGAATGTCTATTAAAGAAAGCGTGCAGCTCATTTTCGCTGTCCGAGAGCGACACGGAGGGTTGTGGCTGTCGCAGGCGGCGCCGGGCGAGGTGGAGCGCGCCGTGGCGGAGGCCGTGGACGCGGGCTACCGCCATTTCGACTGCGCCATGCTGTACGGCAACGAGCGCGAGATAGGCGCCGCCCTCCGCGCCAAGATGGACGAAGGCGCCGTGCGCCGCGAGGACCTCTTCATCACCAGCAAGGCAAGGCCTCGCATCACCTCTGCCAAACAGCGCTGCTCTTACGTACTCATTACCAGGAGGTAGCTTCCCGCTGCTCCACGAGCCTTTCTTTTGGCGACTCATGGGTCAGGCACGAAAACGTATTTCTTAAATAATGTTCATAATATAAACTTCATCAGCAGCTAGGCAGCTATCAAGTGCTTCCAAGAGCACTAAATGTGCCTCATCCTGATTACTCATAGGTGAAACACGTGTAGAAAAGACTGGCAAAATGAATGGTAATCTGACATCGGTATATATCAGTTCTTTTAAACTTTTCTAGTGTATGATACATTAATCACCGAATGAGTGTCTCAATGATTTAGAAACTCGATGATTCAGATATCGCAAAAGAGATATTTTGGATATTCGTGCCAAGACTTTTATAAAACATTGATGAGTTCCGGCAGTTGCAATATTCAGTCGAAATCCAGCGGTAGCGTCCTAATTCCGTAGGCAGTCCAAACCATGGTCACCCTGCGCCTCAGGGCACGATCAAACGTATTCAAACCTGTGGAATTTTACATAGACCCTCAGCTCCCTTGCCTCCGTCACACGCGAGTACCAGGGATCATGTTCGACACTATTTACGACAATACTCGGTATCTGTCAGGTACTTCGGTCATTTTCGTATTTTATCGATATTTTCTTATTGTTTACATGAAAAATCGCTTTCTACTCACTACATAATAAACGCTACAACGCTTTAACAGAATATTTATTTTATTTAATGAAATTTAGTTTGAAAAAATATTTTATAAATTCATTCAAAAATAACTTGAGAACGCTTCTAAGCCAAACATTGTCACTGACGAGAGAGAATGCGTCACATTTAGCGCAGCGCAGTGAAAGAGTTGAATTGTTCAGAGTTTTTCATGAAAATTATTAAAATAAGAGACTTATAAATTATTCAGAAAAAAAGTATTAGTGGAATACAAGAAATCTCATATCTCTAGAAGGTTACGTTTTTCAAATATCTGAAAATCTCCATAACCTGTATATTACAAATATACAATACGTTATTCCGGATTAAAAGAATAGGATGGATATTCACCACCTCATAGTTTACCCCACAGTATACTTTCAAGTTTAATCCAGCTCACAAATGTTAGCCTTCACTTCAAACTAGTTACGACTAGTTGCTTCTAAAATGGTACTATAAATACTGTACACTATTATATAATACACAAATGAACTTTTATAGACACATACTAGATGGAAGAACACGTAATCGTGGGGTCTAATGGAAGTATTTTGCCCAATTCCTCTTCCCCCGTTATTAGATCTTTGTAATTTTCTTTAGTACAAAGTAATAATCTGCTGAAAGCAAGTGGGACATGCACCGCTTAATTTAGTTTTAGCTTTTGATCGAACAGTCTCATTCAAATTAGGAATTCATAAACGGAAGTACATACATACATGAGAATGTGAAAGTGACGTAGTGTGATAAACAGGTAGCCTTTCTTAGAATTCTCTTGATCTATTGAACAAGTGTATGACTGCCTGCTTTAAACAGAATTTCACTTTGCTTTGGGATATTATTCTTCATCGGCCCTTCAGAGGTTATATTTCGTTTCTTGTTATTTCCTGACAATGATATATTTGGTGTTATTTAAAGTTTTGTCTATTTAGAAATTAGATTCTAACGTTCTTTTGCAATGGAACCCTGATAGTGTATCTCCACATAAAAGCCCTTCTTTCTTTCTGGTACATGAATAAGCCCGTTTACTTCTACTTGTAAGTCCTGTAAGACCTAATGTGAGTTATAGTAGTCCGTCCCTGCATTTTGCCTAGTAGTAGGCCCTCTTGGTGGTCGACCTCGTTTTCTTCTCGTGGGGGGATTCCATTTCCATATCAATTTAGGCCATTTAAACTCCTCCATTTTTTCTAGATGACCATACCAGAGAAGGCGTTTGGTTCCAATTTTATCAATAAGATTTCTTTTAACGCCCATAATATTCCTTATTTTCTCGTTCCATTGTATTCCAGTTTGGAAGTGCCACAGCTCGTTCTCCATACATCCATTTCAAGTGAAATAAGTTATCTTTTATTCCGTTCCCATACTTTTGCACCATAGGTAGTGATACTTTCAACCGCTGTGAAGGAAATAATATACTTTGTTCTTTTTGTTATTTTATCGTTCCTCAGAATGTGGTTTAGTTGCCGTATTGCTCTTTTGCCTTGTGCAATTTTATTATTAATGTCATCACTACATTTGCCATTAGATGATAAAGTGAACCCCCAAAACTTAAAAGTTGTACAACATTTAATTTTTTCTGTCTCTTCTTTATATCTTGCAGCTTTTCATCTCCCACTTTAAGATACTCAGTTTTAGACATATTAATCTTTATGCCCCATTTTTCATATTTCTTTTTCAACTTACGGAGCATATAACACAAGTCATCCATATTCCCGGACGCAATGACCTGATCGTCGGCAAAGAGTAGAGTATATATAATTTCCCCATCGACTGGAATGCCCATACCACTACATTTCCTCTTCCACTCTCCAAGGTCTTCCTCTAAATAGATCTTAAAAAGTTCTTTCTCTTCTAACGCGCGCAACAAACGCTACAAGGAAAGGCAAAAGCCACAGCGTGAGAGAGGAGCGGCTGTCGTAGCGTCGATGTAAGCGCGGCGTTGCAGCTGTGGAACACGTTCCACCGGCCGGAGGTGGTGGAGGCGACGTGCCGGCGCTCGCTGGAGGCGCTGCAGCTGGACTACCTGGACCTGTACCTGGTACACTGGCCCGTGGCGTTCAAGGAGGGCGAGGAGCCGTGGCCGCGCGACGCGCAGGGCCGCATCCACACCACGTACATCGAGCCGGCGTCCACGTGGCGCGCCATGGAGCGCCTGCCCGCGCTGGGGCTGGCGCGCTCCGTCGGCGTCTCCAACTTCAACTCGCAGCAGCTGGCGCGCCTCTGCGACGCCGCGCAGCTGCCGCCGGCCGTCAACCAGGTGCGCTGCGCACGACTCCTGGGCGCCTCCGGAGGGCCTATACTCGGCGCGAAGGTCTTTTCATGGGCAAGCCAGTTACGCTTATCCATAATAATAATAATAATAATAATAATAATAATAATAATAATAATAAGTCTATATTAATACGGGAGGCTCTGGCCATCAGGCCCGCTCTTCCGCCTATCCACATGTCACAAATATACAGATTAGTCTAAAAAGTAATTTAATCTAAAAAAATTAAATGTAATATAATATACAAGTGGTAAGTAGTTAGTGGAAAGCAAAACGTTATTTAAAGCAACTTTAGCTAGTTTCATATCAGAGTGATTTTATTTGCATCAAGCTGGTTCCTAGCGTTTGACCCCTGCCCCATCTCCCGTCTCGCTGGGATCCGCATACACCGAAACATGCATTGCTCTACCCAATTGGACCTAGGCGGGGTCGTCCTGACAGCTGAGGCCGACCAGCTTTCCGGGTTGGTTCAGGAGTCGAATTAGTAGGCAGCACTACCAATGTGCTGGCACACGTCACTTCTCAGTTTTCTGTGAGGGGGAGGGGGGCTCGCCACGACGAATCCAAGGGCCGACTGTGCACCACCCGGTGAGAGTGCTGCAAGAGAGTTTCGTCCTCGATAGACAATTTGATATTATTATTTAACAGTTACCAATAATATGAGAAGTATCTACTCTTGTTCTACTTAATTATTTTTCTTTCTTTTTCTTTAATTACTTCCTTCTTAATTTTTATTCTCTAGCCGTATTACGTAGTGAAGATAAATATTATAATGCTGCATCAAAATTAGGCACTTTTCTACAGGTAAAATTGTTTCCCGGGACTCTAATCGAAAAAAGCGGACCGTCCGTGGTCATTGCCAGCGCATAAGCCGTCCTCTCCAAAATTGATATAACCCCATCGACCTGGAAAAATTCGAGGCTCTGAGAGTTCGAAAGAGGTATTTTGATTGTGAGGGGAATACTTTCAATATTTTCATTTTTTTTTCAAAATGATTCCAAACTTTAATAAAAAACTTTTTCCTCTGACACTTGAAAGCGGCGCAGGTCTCATTTCCGTTGGACTCTCCCCAAAACGGCAGAGGTTAGAGATAATGCGAGAAAGTGTTTGCTGTGGCGGCGCAGGTGGAGTGCCACCCGTACCTGACGCAGCGCGCGCTGCGCGCCGCGTGCCGCGCGCGGGGCGTGACGGTGGTGGCGTACTCGCCACTGGGCGCGCCCAACGCCGTGCGCCCGGCCACCACCGAGGCCGCGCTCGGCGCCCCGGCCGTGCTGCACGACCACCGCATCAAGGAGCTCGCCGCCAAGTACGCCAAGTCGCCCGCGCAGATCATCCTGCGCTACCTGGTGAGCAAACACTTTCTTCCTTTCTTTCTTTTTCTTTCTTTCTTTCTTCCTGTCGTGGTCTTCCGTCAGAGGCTGGTATATGGTACCAGCCTCTACCGTCGATAAGCCGGCCGATGGAATTCTCCTCCGGCAGCAGCTGAATTGACCTACGGATTACTAGCTAGTGTCGAAAATTCCACTACTTCGAACCGTAGGGCCTCCGTCAGAGAGTGCCAGTGACATCGTTGATGCCGTGAGCCATCCCAGTTAGGTGATAACATCCAATTAATTTGTTTCATTATTAATTTACTACCCTTAGTACCTGTAAGTCAATCGAGAGAAAAAAAAAGAAGAGAATGAA